AGAGAGAGAGAGAGAGAGAGAGAGAGAGAGAGAGAGAGAGAGAGAGAGAGAGAGAGAGAGAGAGAGAGAGAGAGAGAGAGAGAGAGAACGGGGATGGAAGGAGAGACCGAGCTTAGTCGAGAATTTGGTGTCTCGACTGATCATGGTCGTTGCTTAGCCGATTAATTTGGCCGCGAGTTTCTATTCGTGTTCATTGTTTTTATTTTTTATTTTTTTGGACCACCATTTCCCTAGTTATGAGGGTGCGTCCTTGCGGGGGGGCGCAAGCTTACTATTTTCTCAGTATCGGACATATTTTTATTTATTTATTAAATTATTACAAATAAACAGCATTTCTCCATTTACGATGTCCCCAAGGACGCCGCATCGTATTGGTCGACTGATCGGACAGAACGGGATTGAACTCGGTCGATTTTTTTTATTTGTTTTTTCAAATTAAGGACGACGGCCTTCAGATATCATCATTGAGCTGACCGGCCGGAGGCAATTCCCCACTCCCCCCCCCTTCCCCCCCTCCTCCCCCCCCTTCTTAAAAAGCCCAGAGGTTGTTGTTGTGGTCGGATTCTGGACTTATGAGTCTTCTGACAGTTACCTTCGGCACTTGGCCATGTGGATTATCAGACAGTCGATAGACGTCCCCTCAGACTCCCTCTCCACCTTCCACTCTCGTAATTTCTCCCCTTCGCACCCCTACCCAGGCTACCCCTACTTCTGCGATCCTACCTCAGTGTCTACCACTCAGGACTATCACCCACTCACTCACGGGCAACCTTGACGGGCCGGCAGTTGCAGGTACCAGGGCTAAGCAGAGTCCCACTTACCCTACTCAGCCTGAGTAATCTAAGCATAGTCGTACCAGCCCGCATACCTATGCCGAGGCTGTGGGAGAATTCTCATTGACGGGAAGATACAAAGAGGAGGTCTCCTGTCGTTCTACGCACTATGCGAGTTTTTCAATGTCGCCTCAATTTAAAACAGCCGAAAGTAGTCACTTTTAGAGGCATCACGGCACTGGTAGCCAGTCCTGACGCGATGCCGCCGGCCTCCACACGACACCGGTAGCCAGTCCTGATGCGATGCCGCCAGCCTCAACACGACCACACGTGTTACAGTCAGTCAGATTTCATCATATTTCAAATTATTCTTTCAATTCACCTTCTCTACCTACCTACCACTACTCCTAAGAGTCCTAAGGTTTATTTATACAGGGGACCCTCGCGAACATGGCTTTGTAGTCTCCCTCCAGCCACCCATCAGAGCAGATGCGTGTTGGCCCCCGCCCCAACCGTGACGGTCAAGGATGGGGTAGGCTCTTGGGTACTACGCCGTCGAGTTCTGTTTTTTTTTTTTTTTTTTTTTTTTTTTTTATTGGAAAAGAAAAAATTCATTACAAAAAAACAGGACCCCGGAAAAATTTAAAGGGAAAAAAAAAAAAAAAAAAAAACCGAGTTATGACGCTGAGGCCGCTACGATCTTCGCTCGCGAAATCCGATGGGCTCACGAATAATCAGGCTGGTAGTGCTATTTCCTCCGAACACTCAGTCAGGGAATTTTTTTTTTTTTTTTTTTTTTTCAGACAGTCAGGGAATTTGAGTGCGGCCGTGATGAAGCGTCATGAAGAGGGGGTTAGGTCCTTAGGGACATCCGTCCGTTAAAAAATTGGAATTGCAACGGTACTACAACAGAGAGAGAAA